TGCAGAAAGTGGGATAATAGGGCTGATTTTGCTCAGGCGATGTAGGGGCACTAAAACAGACATGAATACGAGTTTTTGAAAGAGAGTGATACCCAAAGATACATAAATCTATAGAAGACTTGTTTATAGAGTTCATGAGCTCTAAAACAGTATGTAAGTTGGGAGTGATGTATCCAAATGACAGTAATTAGAATCACTTCACGATTCTGTAGCAGTAAGAAAGCCGATTGCAAATCATGTTCATCAGCTCTACTTCATGCTTTGGCTAGACTAGGTTCCCTAATGAAAGCACATTCATCAGGGAGTAAGTAGTATTTTCACTAATCGTGGTATTGCGGCCTATCAAGAAAAATTATTATGTATTGGTCTCTATCGGGAAATCTGTCATCTCAGAAAACACCCGTTGTGGCACAATTTCCAAGTCTCGAAGAGCCAACACAACTGAGATTTGAATGGCTCTTCAAAATTGTACTTTACTGGATTCTTCAAGAGGCAAAGGCGCTGGCAAAAAAGTTCTCTCACCTGGGATTGCGACAGCAGGTTACGTGCAGGGACATATTGACGAGAGATGGGGAGTTGTGTGCAAAGAAATCTTATGAGCAGAGGAAGAACTGAAGGATGAAGGACAAAGTTTTTGGCTTCGTTGACGCAGATCAACTCCGTTTTGGGATGCGACTTCCATTCAGAATCGTAGTGGCGTTTGAATGCTGCATTTATCCTCGCGACAATGCGATTTTGGTTGGTGTAGGTGGACTTGGGGTTTGGAAACGGACTATACATCACCAAGTGAACCTCTTGGCTTAGTGAGCAGTAGTAAACGAACGTAAGAAATGAAGTTGATATCATTGTTGCAGATGCAAGAGGGGAAGAACAGTCGGTTGATTTGACTACGGGTAACGGAACTTCTCCCCTATCGCGGCATTCTCCCTTGCGGCATGCGGCAAATGTCACTGCAATTACCGTACTCACCCCGCCTCCCACCAATCGATAGGACGCGATATTTGTCCTTGACTGGCTTGCTTTTTCATTGGATTTTATCGTTTTTTCTTCTGTTTCTTTTTAGTTTTCATGTTTATTAGACTTGATTAATTAAAATGACTTCTCCTATATAAACGACGATCAAGACCGCATTGGAATTGAAAAGAGCGGCCAGCCAATTCAAATAATTAAAGGACTCCCTACCTCACAAATTGCGCGCTCCAATCTTCCATCGCAATCCTGCGATAGGCGGCGGATGCGGCGTGTGCGACGCCGTGTTAGGGGAGAAGTTCCCGTATCCTTTGACTACACACCCGATATTGATCGGTATAAAAGGTGCGAGTAACTAAAATGGGCTGAGGGACATTGGATGTACCAGTCGGATCTCCCGGCTAACGACGGATGTTCCTCCTTTTCGTGTAAAATGGCCAGTAGCGTACGTCCCCTCCAATTCGGTCGCTCTGGTACTGTAGAATAGGAAATAAAAATTTTCAGCCAAACACGCACACACATCCGACACACTTCGTGAGCGCGTGTCATGAGCGGAATTCTGCTCATCATTCCCCTCTTTTCCCGGTGCGACTAGGCAAATTCGCCGAAATTACGCTTATTTAACCCCGTTCATTGCGTCTTGCCCTACCACCTACTGTAAGTGCTCCCATCCTTTAACGCCCTACTCCCGAATCAATATTTTTCGCGCAAGTTACGCCCCCTGTGGGCGGAATCTCTTCCCGCCACCCACCATAAGTGTTACTATTCTGCCGCCTGCACTCCTACCAAACTTCAATGCACTAGGTCCAATGGGACAAGAGTCAGTTAGACACAAACGCACACACAAACACACCAACAGGCACACTTGGCGTACTGTATAAGTAGGATGTGCAGATTGGACTTATGTATTAAATAAATGACAAGCGCGAATACTTGAACTTGTTAAGTTTCCGAAAGGTGCACTGCTCTCAAGCGGCAGGCGTAACCAAACTTGGAAAATTCCTAACAGGACAGTTCATAAAAACAGAAGAAGGACAGGAGAAAAATGAGAAAAGCCCGACAGCAATAAACGTACTAAGGAGTAGTCGTAGTAGCGAGCTGATCGGAGGTTGAGATTTTTGGCCTCTCTCTCTTTCAAACGCTTGTCGTTCAGTCAATCACTTCAAGCTTGTCAAGTTTTTTGTTATCGATTCCATAGAAAAACTGCCTTCAATCTTTGAGAAACTGCCATCTGTTTACTTTCCCTGAAACAAAAAAAGTATAATTATAGTATAGACTATCACACCAAAGCGAAAGCTCAGTGCGGGTGCTTGACTCTCATAGTAATCCTGGATCGAATATCGAGGTGCAATACATGGTCGGACCCAGACTGATGCTCTTCCAGGCCAACCCGGCCTTATTGAATCAGTACTATCGGAACTCTTCCACTGACCATACCCTATAGGCCCCATGTGTGCTCCCATTTGCCATTAGGAAGCTTAATGTAATCTTGTTTACGGATGAGTAGTACATCCTACGCTGGCTTAGTGGGCGTAAATAATCAAGTTTCACATTATGTCATAGAATGGTCCTCATATCATATATCTACATGAAAAAGGATACCTATGGATAATTATGCTTGTGTTTCTAAGCCCTCCCTGTATAATTTACGAGCAGAGGGTTCTGTTAATAGGATGCGAAATTGAATAGAAATTTGTTGACAATTCCGTTGTATGATGCTCCCACGCATTCTATTTTCATTATTAATCCTAAGGTTTATGTGTGTTTGTGTGTTTATGTTTATGTTTACAATAGTGTCTCACATGTCGAGACCGTTTATTTGGGCATCAGCTCTGCTCGAAATAGTCAACCAACGATGGAAGTTTGTTTATGGAAAAGTATCGTCGATTGATTTTTCGGAGTGTTAATTTAGTCGGAATCGCATTTCCTTTTTGATTCAATCTGGATTTTTGTTACTTCCTTAGCTAGCTGATCGAAAATTGAGATTTTCGGCCTCTCTCTCTCTCTTAGACGTTAATCACTCAATCACTCCAAGCTTGTCAAGTTTTTTGTCATCGATCCCATAGAAATACTGCCTTCAATCTTTGAGAATCTGCCACCTGTCGACATGTCCTTAACGTTGCTATGACAATTTGCCAAAGAAATTGGTAGATACAATTTGTCGATGACAATTGCAGATGTAATAGCAATCGCCTACTCATCAGTCATCACCGTCTGGTTTCCTTGTCTTTTTTTGCTTTGAATGTGTTGCCCTTACGTGATTCTTTCCTATTCCCAGACACAGAAAAGCATGTATGCGATTAAAAAGCGTTCAGTACATATAATTGAAATTTCCAGGCCTTCTCGAACACAGCCATGCGATGGTAGACCAAGAGCTCGCAAGCCTTCATTCTGTATTTGTCATCATCTACTTACAAGTTAGTCAAATCTGTATGCTCAGTTTTTACAAAATATAGCAGTTCTGGGGGTGGGGTGGTCTAGTGGGTGGTGGTGGTGCATTACCATAGAGGTCTGAATGGAAGTCAAATGCGGGAGTTCATTCCCGAAAAGGTGTAAGGAGAACCTTACCCTTTGCTTACAGCTATCCCGTGTGGAGGTGGTGGAGGTGGTTACCATCAGTGCCAAGAGGCGCTACACACATGGTGTAGAAATGGAACCCTGGCTCCCACTCATGGCAGTCGAACCTTTCATCCTCCTGTGCAGGGCTCAACGGGTGTGGGTAGTTACGTGCGCCCGAGGATGCGCACGGCAAATCGCGCGGCGAAGTGGGTGGTGATTCGAACGTCCCTGTCGCCTATCATTGGGGCTCAAACTCTAAGTAGAGTTGTTTAGTAGGGTCAGCCAATACTACTGATCTACTCTACTTCAAATTTGCCCCCCCCCCCCCCCCGTATTGTCATCTCTTGTGAATTGGACAGGCAATGCCCGTGTTTGTGAGTGAAGGTCAAGTGCGTGGGCATATTTCAAAACGAGGCCCGGAAAATCTTGTCTTTCATCTTACAAATAGCTCATTAAAAAAGTGCGCTATGGGAATTTATGCACTCTAACGAGCATGTTAATATCGCCTTGCTTCTATCATCCACTTCCGATACAGCGCTTCAACGGCGGTTGAAGAGGACCAACTCCCTCCCCCACAAAATGTTGTTATCACTATCCAAAAGCTAGGTTGATGGATCCTTTTTCACTGAATTCTTTGACAGTCTGTCACTAGCGTCACCGGTCAAACCTGCAGAGTGATGGGGAGGAAAACTCCGAAAAGCGTCCCGCGCTCACCGAACTCAGCTTGCAGTGTAGGGTTAAAATCTGAATTCCCATGGTAATTTGGAATTAATGCGAAAACACTGATGCGTGTGTGCCAGCGACTGTGTCTCTAACAAAGTGCGAGTGTTACAGCATACAGGGGGTATCGCTATGAAATCTGATTGATTTGAAAAATTCAATTTAATGTTACAGGCAACCTATTTTTTGCTGAATGAACATTTTTCATCAGATGGTGGTGTAATGGACCGATCCACAGAAACACATCATGGATTATCATGACGGAAATGCTATAGACGGGGTTTCAGTTTAAAAGTTAGGCACGATTGCGTAAAGAGCAGTTTCATCAGTTCAGAAGCCTAAAATTGCCTTCCACTGTCGATATGGGTCACAACTAGTTGTATGGATTTTCAACAGTGCGCTCTACTGCGAATAGTGCAGCCCCTAGAACGCCTTTGCAACTCGTCCATCTTCGGTTAAAGCAAACAGAATGCACTTTTTGTGCCCTCATTACAACCCATTTCAAGCGTTTCGAGCGAGAGGGCGTTTTCTGATTCTGATCCGACACCGCCTTACGTGGTAAACTCGCGGGTAAGGCGGTGGGAAGAGGGAGGAGAGGAGGGCAACAGATTCATCCTGGAAGTATATCTCAAAAACCGCTTTCAAAATGAACTTTGCCTGCACTCTGTTACCAGAATAGTTAATAGTTAATATGGGGTAAAAGATCATAATGGTTACTCTATGGAAGTTGTCAAGAATGTTCTTTTTTGTGCATGAGAGTAGGAAACAGTTACTTCTGTTTACAGGAAATCGCCTGGATATCTGCTCCACTGCTGATCAGCGCCAATGTCTTCCTGCACGCATGCATCCGAAAAATGGAGTTGGGTAAGGCTCAAATAAACTTAAGCGGCGCAGGTACCTTCTGCAGGTTTGCTACCCTTGGTGAACTCTGTCTGGGTCTCTAAACATGCACCATTGACGAGGAATCATTGAAGTCACAATGTCATACCGAATGTTTCAGGTGTATTGCTGGTCTCTGGTGGGATCTTCGGTTTTTTCCTTCTGTCTGGTATCTCGCTTAGTATTTCTTTATACATTATTCATTCTCGTGCCCTTGGACGGAAACAAGCCAAGTATCTTACTCCCTACATTTTCAACAAACTCTTTCGAATCGTTGTTCTTGGGACATGTGAGTTCTTTATCGTTTCATTTTGCCCATATTCAACATCTACGTGATAATGATAGGCATTTATAGATACCCCAGAATAATCGCACTCGGTTTCTATCGGTCCCAAATAGAAAACATTAAAAACAATGTCAAAGCGAGAAATAAGCTTTGAAGGAAGTAAAATAGTTCGAAAATGAATGGCAAAGGATGGGGCGGTGTAAAGTCTTTCAAACGCCTCGAACGAACACCCCTCTACTTGGGGTCATTCATGACAAAGTCTTCTAACAACTTCAAAGCTCTCAATTCCGATTCCGAAAGGCAATGGGAAAGCAACCAGACGGTGAACTCGGCGAAATGTTGGGAACAGCCCGAGAAGGTTATTCGTTTCATTGGGGACTGTGACCAGAGTGTCGGTGGAAAAATAATTGCTCAACAAAATTAAAAAAAATGAAACTGTACAAGAGAGTCATCGCACTTGTGTTGATGCTGTAGATATTTGCTTTTCATTTTGTTGAGGGTTGGTATTTTTTATCGACACTCGGCTGTTCCCAACGTTTCACCGAGCGCAACATCTGGTTGCTTTCCCCCTTTCTCAGAGAATTGGAATTGAGAGTTGAAGTTGTAAAAAGTCAACGTGTCTCTGGTTCACTGTATCACCCATTTACGAGACCTTGAAATCCTATTATTAGGTATGAAGAAGTAAGTAAATCCGGGTAACGGAACTTCTCCCCGATTGCGGCAGTCGCCCTTGCGGCATCCGCCAAATGTCACTGCAGTTACCGTACTAACCCCGCCTCCTCGCTGATCGATAGTGCGCGATATTTTTCGTTGATTGCCTTGCTTTTTTATCGGATTTGACCGTTTTTTCTTCTGTTTCTGTTTCGTTTTCATGTATATTAGACTTGATTAATTAAAAGGACTCCTCCTATATAAACCACGATCAAGACCGCATTGGAATTGAAAAGAGCGGCCAGCCAATTCAAATAATTAAAGGACTCCCTACCTCACAAATTGCGCGCTCCAATCTTCCATCGCAATCCTGCGATACGCGGCGGGTGTGCGATGTGCGACGCCGTGTTCAGGGAGAAGTTCCCGGACCCAGTGAATCCAAAGGCAGTGGTTCCCGACATAGAAATGCAGGAGTAAGGGCCAGAATAAGGCCTTTTTTTTCTACTATTTTTTTNTTTTTTTCAATCTATTCCTGATTATTGGTTCCGACTAATAGTTCCCCATTTCTTGTTTGCACCAAATCTTTGCCTTTCTGAGGAGAATTTGGGGGTAAGCTTGCTCATTGCAGTGGCAATCGTCATCCTCGTGTCGCCGCAGTTGATCAAGACCTACTTCTACGCGAGTGTTTATGCCATGTTTGAGTGTATAGCTGGTATTGTTGCTCTTGAGGTGGGCTTCTTCTTTATTTGTAGTTTTCCAATTGAGCCGTTGAATTCGGAATTCAAAGGTCGTTTTCGTGACAGAGTAGTCTACATACTACTCCCTTCAACATAAACTGTTGGATAGACAAATTAGATTTATTACTAAATTATTAAAAAAATAAAGAGTTACCGAAGTTATGTTGTGCGCCGAATCTCGTTTTATGTTCTAGGTGGCCATACGAAGTTGGCGTATACTCTCAAGGGCTGGATGCTCTTCCCTTATACGGTAACGCTTGTCGATGATATGGACTGTTGCGATTCTGGTACATCACCAAGTTGTTCATGCTCACTTTCTCGTGTAATCGATTGGAAAAGTTGTTAGAGGCCTGGATTATGGTGCTCATTCGGAATTCAAACCGGCTTATTTGAGTAGTGGCATCAGAACACCTGATGCATTCAGTATAAATAGAATATAATATTTATAATACTATTAACCCATGGCATTAAAATGAGAAGAGGTTGTCGCAAGTATCTTAATGCTCTATGTTGACGGGAGTTCAGAATTTATGATTCCACTAATTGTAATAGTACATAGAACAAGCAATCAAATGTTTATTGATAAGAGCGCTTTCACGATGCACCATTCATATTGGCTCCAGCGTCCCTGGAGTACTGTCACTGCAAATGTTATCCCAAAAGCACCAACATCTAAGTTGTTCCGAGGTTCATTCTCATGATTCTGCTCATGTTTTTTGTCATGAGAGCTCATCTCCATTTACTATTGTGTTGTCCTTCGAAATCGGGACTGTCAACTTTTGTCAGACAGTGAAGGACTGTAGTTGGTCTATGCAGAACCCCGATCTGTTCATAGCTCTCACCAACTCTTGATCCATTTCCAGTTACTAGCCCTAGTAGGTTCCTCCGCATAGCATTAATTTCTGCACTCTCAACCTTCACCCACAACTGGATTATACAGCGAAACTTTAATTTTGTTCAAAATTTTCTTACTTATTTTTGGAAATACAGAAATCCTGGACGAAGTCCTTCAGAAACAACAGAACAAGTTTTGCAAGAATTCGGTACAGTCGGACTTCCCACAAACATCTTTCCACGGCTTAATCTTGTTTGCATACACAATTCTTGGATCAGTCAAAAGTACGACGCATCAAAAAAGGGCTTTGGGCATGGAGTTAGGTTGATGACCGGGTACCCACTGACCCACTGCTCCGTTCGTTGCCCAGGTTCTCTGACATCCTCCGTTGCCACGATTTCTTTTGATGCGCCTTTCCGCAGGTGCTGAAGAGCCATAGCAAGCCCAGTTTGATGAGAAGGGAACCAAATTTCTATACAATAAATAAAAGCGGTCGAAATTTCGTGAATGACCATATGCGGCCGATTCATTCGAGAGCTCAACTGATGAGGGCCTCTTGTCAAAAACGTTTTATTGCAGTCGAATTTTCATTACTACATTTTTGTTGAGTTAGTTACGTCAGTGAGTCTTTCATTGTGTAATAAATATTTACTTTGTATTCCATGTACAGAAGCTTTTGGCTCAGAATTTTAGAATTGTTCGATGGTCTTGAACTTCAAAGCTCGGAGTAGGGGGCAGTTCCGAATTTCTGCTAGTTCCTCAGCAGCAAAACTAGACAGACAGTAGGCTGTCTATAAAGGCTCTATGAATGGACTCAGAACACTTTCTGAGTAATGTGTCTCACAAAGTTTTTATGAACTGGGAGAACTGAAGGGACACTGGAAGTCACAAGAAGGAAACTTAAGAGGATTTGTAGAGAATGACCTGCTTATATGGCAAGATTGACCTTTATAAATAAGGCTGTTTGTGGGTAAGGGTTGTGCTGTGCAACTCCAAAAATGGATGACTGCTCTCGAAAAATGTTGAGCGTAGTATAAATCTAGATTACCTTACTCGTTAAAGGCACTGTTAACAAAAAAGTAAGGGTACCCTTTTTTGACGGGAATAGATAGAACTACTCTAGAATAAAGCGATAACAACGAAAAAGCGCAAAAAAACGAGGAACAAAAAGAATTACGAGGGGCAAAAAAAAAGCTGGAAAGAGGGGGTGGACGAATTTCACATTGAAAAAACTGCGGTTAGGGAGTGTTCGAGCGAGAATGCACGAAGGCGGCGCAATGTTTGCAATACAGACAACACATTGAAATTAACGGAGTTTCTAAAATAAAAAAACATTTGCATGCAATAATCTACCCGAAATATGTTAAAATCTTCAAT